TTTTTTCCAGGTGTATATATATTCAAATCTTATGTCATAACAGGGTAGAAAAATACAGCATGCCTAGATACAACACCCGTTTCTGTAGGAATAGCTTCGTTTTATGTTAAGTTTCAACAACTGACGAATTAAACTAAATTTTGACATTAAAGACTTAATTGTGACTTTCATGCACCTAAGTTAATTTAAAAGTTAAATCTTTCCCATGCCGAGGGCGCATAGAAGTCGGTGTTTCAATGGTACAAGTGGATAAGAATGGTGACAAAATATCCCTAGAAGGATGCCAGTCCATCGCAGGTTAATCCTCCAGCTATCCGCTGGTACCCATCACAGAGCTGCATAACCTAAACCAATTGGGGTAAAGTGTCTTGCTCAAGGACACAACATGTCGCGAGCAAGCTTCAAATTTGCGACCTTCCAAGTACGAGTCCAAAGCACTAGCCGCTGGACCACTATGCACCTAAGACTTCCAAGTAATTCTTGAAAACTCAGTAATAGATTCCATAAATCGGAAGATTTCAAGTACATTTTAATGATTTTTGCTAATTCTAAAGCTAAGCAGTGTCACTCACTTGGGAGTTAGTCTTTCTTTTTAATAGTACATTTCATTAAAGTAACATAATATTAGAATCCCCCTTTATGTTACTTGTTTCCGACATAAAATGCTTTTTCTTCAAATAAGCTTCATAATTATGAGAAACATCACACATTATTTCGTTAATTAAATAAAAATACAACTAGGGGTTTGTTATGAATACAACACTTAATTTAAAAAAATGTTTGCCACATATATATAATAGCGAGTTTTCTTCAGCTCATACAAGACTTCAGAGCGAACGCACTGCCATCTGGGGGTAAAAGCTAATCTTACATAGATACTATGCCATGGCTTTCTCAAAAATGCTATTATTTTGTTGATTATTAGTAGACAGATTGGGTTCCTTTTTGTCAAAAATATTTTGATTTTCAAACATTTGTTACTATAACTAGCAAACATTTCAAAGTTAAGAAAACTTATAAAACATAGAGAAATATATAAATTAATCTGTCATATTTTAAAATTGATAGTATCGACTTCTGTTCATTACGTATACTTCAACGTGTGATGCTGTTTCTAAAAGTATTTTAAATTTTCACTCGGTTAAATCAGTTTTTAATACAATGTCTACATTTTATCAGTACTGAAACTCGAAGTTTTGTTTTTAATAATAATGCCAAATCCTATTCAATACTGGTAGTTTCAAACATTTAATGTGTTCAAGCTTCTATACAAAATATTCTAATGAGAAATCCTTTTTTGTTTGTTTAATAATCAAGATTTATAAACCTTCAGCTTTAAAACTAAAAAATAATAGCGACAACTACTTATTAGTTTGAAAGTTGAGAATGTACGAGAAAACGTGTCTTCAGAGAAACAAAAATCGAGATGTGTTCTGAATCTGAGATGTTGTTTTTATCGTAAAGCTACACACTGGGCTATCAGTGCTTCGTCAACAGCAGGAAACGAACCCCAGGTTTTAACGTGTAAGTCCGTAAACTTACCGCTGACCCACCGTGGGACGTGAATCTGAGAAAACACATTGCAAGTTTAAAAAGAATATCAACTGTTGCTGGAAGGGTGATTTAACAAAGCATTCCAGTAGGAAGAATACTAAAGACAATGATGACTATATAATATTTTATCCTAGATTGTTTTCGTTCGAAAACAATCTAGGATAAAATATTATATAGTCATCATTGTCTTTAGTATTCTTCCTACTGGAATGCTTTGTTAAATCACCCTTCCAGCTTTTTTTCTTTTTGTATGCGACTCCCCTAAAATAGAGAATCACGAATTACATAATTTCCACCTTGTATACTACAAGCTGTGTTAAATATTATCACCGCTAATTAATAAACTTTTGCTTAAGCTACGAAACTTAGCTTTGTGATTTCCAAGCTTTTGTTTTTTAAAATTTTTTTAGCCTGATTGCTCTTAAAGAGAAATATTTGCAAATAAAGCCTATTTATACGTTATTTCGCCAAAACCAAGCATTTGCAGATGACACTTCATAAACCTGCAGTTCACCAGTTGTAAAGGTATTTTAAAAAACCTTTGAGGTTATTGACCAACATGTCATGGAATTCAAAACTTCTCAATAAACATGACTGCCTTTCGCATCGTACAATTATCATTACTCATTAGTTGCTGATAAGGGCCAGGAGTGGCCAATTGGTGGTATGCCTGACTGTGAATCGGAAGCATGGAAGTTAATAGGATTTTCTTTTTTTTTTGGGGGGGGGGGGGGTAGGTTTCTGTTCATAGTACATTTTTCTTAGATATATGTGTGTATATTCATACACACACACACACACACACACACACACATATATATACGCACAAACATGTACATTTTTGTGTTTTTTTAGTTGAGCACAAAGCTACACAAAGGGCTATCTGTGCTATGCCCACCACTCGTATCGAAAACAAGTTTTTGCGTAGTAAGACGTCAGACTTACCACTGAGCCACTGGTGGTTCTACACACGTAAAACTGCACTTGTTATGGCGAGAATTCATTGCTGAACAAGTTATGTTAAAATAAATATTCTTGAATATAAGCTGGATACTATCTACTTATTAATTAACTAAAGTCTAGTATACGTGTACGTCACAATTGTACGTATAATAATCCGTTTACAATAAATATCTTGCATTTTATTACAGAAGATAGACACACTGTTATTTGAATGTTTTAGTCCCTTATCGAACCGGCTTGAAAGATGTAGTTGTGTAGCTTATTTAATTGCCCCAGCGTAAAGGAGGCCAGAAAGTGAATTTAGGTCACTACTAATAATTTTAATGAGGCCACAGATGTGTTATAAAAGTAACGATCAAATTCCAAAATTCAATTAAAGTAGCTTAAGAGCTGGAGGTGGGTGATGCTGACTAGATATCTTCTCTCTATTCTATAAGTTCAAAATTAGATTACTAGAACAGATAGGTTTTGTATATCTTTTCACATGTATCTGAAACAAACAACTCGAATTCCTTGGTAAAAGCAAGTTGCCTCAGAACTAAAAATTAATCCAGTAAATATTACAGCTAATTTCATATACCTATTTAACATGCAATGTTATAAAACCAAACTTATAATTATTAGAATACATTAATTCAATAGGTGGACACTTGCTTTAAACGATATTTTCAGCTACAATCCCAATAACATCTCAAGCGGTTTATTCCAATTAGGAGAATTAAGTTAGCCCTAAATCCATATATCAAGCTGACAATGCAAAACAATCCTCATACTTAAAAATAAACATGTCATACATATGTTAAACATTTTAACCTACACCATTGATGAAACTACCATAAAAACAACAACAATAAAATATAAGTTGTTTACCAAGCACATCAAAACATTATGGGTTTGATTCATGCACTATCACTGTTTCCCTAACCCTTGTAAAGTGTGACATTATTATAACGCAGAACTTTACATAACTTTCCTTAACAATGTCTAGTGATCCATAAAAGCCCATTAAACGGTTATGGCAGTGTGACTAGATAAATTTCTATTGCAGTATGAAGCCATATTAGGTTTTTATACATACAAGTGCAGTATCTCAGAGCTATTTCAAGAATCAAGAGAAAACAATTCTCTAAGATTCTTTATATATGTTTGCAAAATATTTTAAATAGTCATACTAACAGTTATAACCACTCTGTATATTGTTTTTCAAAAGTGGTTAATGTTACACAACTACTATTGAAGTGTGTTAACACTACGTGGTATTCCAAATTTGTATAAAAATGTAATAATACGTTATAGTCAAAATGAATACAGCAGTAGTTAAACAGATTTATATTTGTATGTTAATTGCTAAAATTGTCTTGGAAATTACTGAGAATGACAGAAGAGAAAAATACAATCACCTTCCATGTTCAGGTATTTTATTATTGTTTTGTTGTTTGTAAAACCCTTTTTAAAACTTAATGAATTCTTCATCAAGATTTTGTTTGAATGAGCGTTTATTTTACAAATTATTAACTATACATTTTTCCATTAAATTATATATATATAACACCATACAGTCTGTATGTTAATAGAGTACTTGAAAAATTACATCTTATAGGTTATGAAACCTGAAGATTTTTACATATACACCCCTAGCCTCCAAAAAAAAGCAGCTTTCTCTAGAATTTAATCTCATACACTTCTAGTTGACTAAAAATACCTACACTGTGATTAGTTATATGATAGTTGAATTACTTCTAAAAGATTCAATACTGGAATAATAAAATTAATGAAATGTGCTGTTTCAACTATTACTATGTTTTTCACATAAAATTACATTAATTTCAACAAGTATTAACAAAAGTATAAGTTCTGCATTCATAATAAACGAACAATAAGTGAAAATACTAAAAAATGTTTTAAAGTGTAAGGAATTTGAAAAAAAAAGTTCCCATTTATCACAAAAGTAATCTTTTTTTGAATGAAACTGGGAGAACTGACTAGGTCCACATCTCTGGGCTGGGTGTGTAGTCTGGTCGTAGTTCAGGAAATATTTCTTGTACTACTACATCCAGAAGAACATAGGAGAGCTGAAATAGACAAGTTTTGCTTTTAATTTTACTAATCTAATAATACAAACACATTTTAGCCAACCAATTGCGTCATTATTATTGACAATAATGCAGCTGATGTTAATTGTCTACATGACATAATTTTTTTTCTTTTTATTGCAGAAAAGGAGCAAAAAATAAGCCAACACACACATGTATATACATATAATGTAATTTAACTCAACAAAAAAGAATTATACAATGAAACACTTCAGATTTTTCTTCTTCAGTGAAATACACTTTAAACATCAACTGAATTATACTTACATTGATATATAAGATTTCTAACATGATAAATGCAACACTGAAAAAACATTACAATTTGAGCTTACATTAAAGTGCATATTTATATACATACTGTAATCTAATTCTTCAAGTATTATTTATTATATAATATATACAAGCCCAATACTGTACCATTCATTACTTTATGTATGTCACAGAATTAATTGCAATGGTTGTAAAAACATAACATAATTATGGTGTTACACACTGAACTGTAATTGTAAAAATGAAACTTAAATATGGTATCACATACTGAACTGCAACTGTTGTAAAAATGTAACAAATATGGTGTCACCTATACTAAATTGCAACTTTTCTAACAATTAAATTTTTTCTTTACAAGTTACCATGCAGAGTTCATATAATTAACCACGAAACAACTCAAGGAGTTTCCAGAATGGAAATATCTATTTTCCTAGACTCAGAACTATGAATTATTTAAGATGTTAGTTAAAGCTTACACTTTCAAAAGTTGATTCAATCTAGTCTTCATATCAGAAACTATCAAAATATCTAAGATTCACCAGCACCACTCCATTTAATGATTATAAGCTTTAAGTAAAATTTTATTTTTACTCCTAATGTATTTAATATATTTTAATTATTTAAGAACATCACCCTGCCATCTGATTTACAAATGCACAAGTATTCACTGTTAAACTGTGGTTCAATCAATCGAAGAAATCTGGTCCTGGTTCTGTGACGTGTTCTCGTTGTGGTGGCAAAGACCATGATGCCTACAAGTGTCAAATGGACTCTCTTTGTATTAATTGTGGTGGTGCCCACCTTTTTAAGTATCGTTCTTACTTTAAATGGGTGGAGGAGAAAGAGGTACAGCGTTTAAAAACTGTTAACAACATTTCTTATCCATAGGCTCGGAAGTTGTTGTCCCCTACTTCATCACACTGCTGCACAACGTTCCACTGCTACAGTGGATGTGCAGACAGAAATTTCCATTCCTCCTTCAGAGTCTTTTGCCCTCTGTGGATAAAAGAGTTGACAAGTCAACATTCTCCTGTCTCCATCTCCAATATTGCTTCCAGTGACTGCTTGGGTCTGTCTTCTTTGGCCCAGAGATGCAGAAAAATTATTCATTCATGCTCTCAGTCACTGGAATCTGCTTCTACTGACAGAGATCTGCCCAATCGACCCAGGGCAGGATCCATGGGGGTCGACAGACCTCCTTCTAACAAAGAAAAATGGCGTGGTCACAAACAGAAGGGTTCTCCTCCACCTAAATGAAAATGGCCACTTTGATACAGTGGAAATGTCGAGATTTCCATTCTAATTTGGATGAAATTAAGGCCTTGATTGATTCCTATCATCCCATGTATCTTTCCTTACAGGAAACATTCCTGAAACCTGCCAATACTGTAACCTTTCAGCAGTTTTCTTTCTCTCAGAATGACAAGTTGTGGTGTAATGGACAAGTGCATGGAGGGGTGGCACTGGTGGTCAACCAGCACATGCCTACCTTGTCTGTGCCACTCGATACACTCTTGGAGGCTGTAGCAATCCGTGTTTCCTTGGGTTGTACCATCACTGTTTGTTCCCTTTACCTGTCTCCCAGAGAGACTTATGATCAATCAGACTTTGATGTTCTCATAGAACAGCTACTGTTTTCACTTTTTCATCTTGGGAGACTTTAATGGACACAATCCCCTCTGGGGTGGTGCTGATATTGATGGGAGAGGTCATTCTGTGGAGCATATGCTCTATTCAATACTGATTATTTTACATTTTTCATGCACCTAGTCCGTTGTTTACTGCTATTGAGGGAGTTTTGATAGTTTTGAGGGAGGCTGGCCAAGGTCGATGCCACCTGAACCAAGTGCCACAGGGGAAGTTGGACCAGGTTGACTGGCTTCACCACTCTCTTGGTACTCAATCCTGTTGTTAGTTTTCCATCTATTAACGACTGCATGAAGGCAGTAACTGATTGTATCATTCAAGCAGCTGTTTGTTCTGTCCCCAAATCTATGATACGTTTCCCACAGTATCCTCATCCATGATAGTATCCCACTTGCCATCAGGTACAGAAGGCTCAGAAACAGGCCTGAGATATCTTTTGCAGGTACCCCATCTTTTCCAACTGCATTGCTTTCCAGTAGGCCCATGTCCATGCTTGCCAAGTCAGATGTCAAAGCCAGAAGGAATCTTGGGTTAAGTTCACTACCTGCATCTCTTCTACCACCAGTTCCAAAGTCATTTGCAACAAGATTCAGACGGTCAATGGGAAGTATGCTTCCCATCCCCTTTCCATCTTGCTCTCTAATGGCCAAGAAGTTGCTGATGTTCCAAGAATCTTCGATACTCTTGGGGAGTGCTTTTTTTATTACTTCAGGACTTCTGTTTCTTCCCCCACCTTTTTGGTCCTCAAGTCTAGGGCAGAGCGGTCACCTCTTTCCTTTTGGGCCTAGCATCTCTATGATTATAATCACCCCTTTATGCTGGTGGAACTCAAGTTCGCTCTTCATCGGTCTGGCAGTACATCAGTTGGACCTGATGACATTCACTATGAAATACTGTGCAATCTCTCTCTCTCTTGCTCTTCTTCTGGTTGTTTTTAACGGGATCTGGCAGGAGAATGTTTTTGCTGATGCTTGTCCTACCTTTTTCTAATTACTAACTGTCTGTGTAAGGTCTTGGAGAGGATGGTTAATGCGCGTCTTGTGTGGTTTCTTGAATCCAACAACCTTCTCTCACCCACCTAATGTGGGTTCATTTGACAGCACTTCACCATGGACCACCTAATTCGATTTGAAACCTTGATCAAGGAATCCTTCATCAAGAGAGAACATCTTGTGTCCATTTTCTTTGATCTTGAGAAGGCTTATGACACTACATGGAGGTGGGGCATTTTGTGGGATTTCCATTCATATGGGTTGTGTGGCCATTTACCCATTTTTATTAAAAATTGTTTACACAACAGGCGATTCCAAGTTTGTGTGGGTTTGAACCTTTCCCATTCTTTCACACAGGAACTTGGAATCCCTAAGGGCTGTGTCTTGAATGTCGCACTTTTCAGTATCAAGATTAATGCTATCACTACACAACTTCCTCCTACTGTTGCAAACAGACTTTATGTTGATAACTTCCACATCTTATTTCGGTGGTCGAACATGATGTTTATTGAGTGGCAGCTTAAAGCTGCCCTCAAAAGCTTGTTAAAGTGAACCATAGCAAACAGTTTTACCTTTTCTTTCCCCTCAAACCGTTTGCATACACTTTTTTCACCAATGGGGTTTACATCCAATCCCGAGCTTCGTCTCAGTGATGTTGTTCTTCCCGTGGTTCCTAAGGCTACGTTTTTGGGGGTTATCTTTGTCTGTAAGCTTACTTTCATTTCTCATATCAAGCAGCTACATGTCAAGTGTACAAGGGTACTGAACATCCTCTATGTCCTCTCTTCCACCTCTTGTGGAGCAGATTGATGTTCTATGCTCTAGATCTATCAGAACCTCAATTGATCCAAACTAGACTATGGATCTCTGGTTTTGCTAGAGCTTCTGCCTTGAAGATGTTGGACCCCATTCACCATCTGTGGCTCTGCACGGGGGTTTTCGGCACTTCTCCAATCCAGAGTTTGTACATTGAATCCCATGAACATCCTCTTAACCTTCACCATTTGCAACTTTCTTTGCAGTAAGCTACTAAACTTTGATCTGTGCCACAGCATCCAACCTGGGGTTATGTCTTCCTTCTTCAGTGGGCTGCACTCTTTCAAAATAGATGGTGTGCATTTCCTCCTTTTGGCATTTGTATCCAGGTGCAGCTGGCTGAATTGAGTCTGTCAATGGATGATATTGCTGTCTACAATGATCAGCCCATCCTGCCATGGCTTATCACCATCCTCACCTGTGACCTTTCTTTGAGTCATCTGAGGAAGGCGGATACTCTTGATTGGAAGTACCGTCTTCTCTTTGTTGAACATCTTTGAAACCATTCTTCTGTTCCCGTTTTTTATGGGTGGTTTGAAGTCAGGTATCTCTGTGGGCTCTGCCATGGTCTGTTGTGGCTTGATTGGATACTCTTGATTGGAAGTACCGTCTTCTCTTTGTTGAACATCTTTGAAACCATTCTTCTGTTCCCGTTTTTATGGGTGGTTTGAAGTCAGGTATCTCTGTGGGCTCTGCCATGGTCTGTTGTGGCTTGGTGGTTGCTTGCAGGAACCCCTCTACAGTTTCTGTGTTCACTGATGAGTTGTATGCCATTTCTCTTGCCCTGGATCATGTAGAAGCTATACAAGTACATCGATTATACCATTTACACTAACTCTTATTGCTCTCTACTGGCCCTTGGAATCGCTTCACATTAGTTCTCATCGATATTCAGAAATGACTGGCCCACATTTTACTGTCTTCTGTCACAATCCAGTTTTTCTGGGTACCTGGCCATATTAGTATTCACAAGAACAAGCTTGCTGACACTGCAGCTAAGTCCGTATGCTCTGGCACTACAACAGCCTTGCATGTTCCATTTGTGGACTATGGTCCTGTGATCAAGGCACCAGTTGGCTTGGGATGAACAGCTTTATAACAAGTTTTTTTCAGATCAAACTTACTGTTGTTGTTTGGCCATCTAGTTTCTGTAAGGATCGGAAATGAAGTTGTTTTGGCTAGGCTATGCATTGGTCACGGTTTTTTAATTCATTGTTTCTTTTATATGGTACTGATCCACCAATGTATAGCCTTTGTGACACTCAAGTCACAATAGCCCACGTTTTACTTTTGTGCCGTCGTTACAACTGTGAACGGCGGCAGCATTTTATATATGTATGGGTTAATCTCTGGAATTGGATGGTGTCATTGGCGATGGTATCACTGTCCAGCTTGATCGTGTTTTTAGCTTTTTACAGGCCTTTGGTCTTTTTAAGTTTATTTGAGTTTTTTACCAGCTTTTTGACATTGTTTTGCTTTTAACTTTACTTCTTTTGACTTTTTACCAGAGTTTTACCTTTTGATTTTATCTTTACACTGGAGGTTTGGCACAGATAGCCACATTGCTTTGCTCCAATAAACCCCAATAACCAAATAAACAACTAACATCCTTGTTGAATAAACAATCAAGCACAAAGTGTACCTTCAAATATAGGTGTTACAACAGATGAGGATAAAAAGCACAAATAATTACACTATAAAATCAGAAAATTTCAATCTCAATGACTAGAATAAAAAAATTAATAACTAAGAAAAAAATTCCATACTGGGTTCAATGTCTGAAAATATTTACAACTAAAATCAAAAGTAACTATTATTAGTTAGAAGTATGGGGGAGATTAGGAGCTTCATACAGTTTCAGAATTCTCAACAGTTAATATTTGATTATATGAATAAAAACATTCAGAAGACAAAATAAAATAATTTCTAAATGAACAAGTCCCTGAAGCTGTAAGTTCATAGCACTTTGATATGTTAAAAGTTGATATAAACAGAACAACATCACTTACATGTTTGTTGAGAATAGGGTTTTGAAGATATGTAAAAAGTAACTTAGTTCCTTCCTCTAAACACTGCTCTCCAGTCAACCAACCAAAATGGTCTAGAGAAAAACAATAATTTATAAAATAATACATGAATATCTTATGTGTTACATTTATTCTGAAGAGTAGAAAGAAATGTTAATCTTTATTTTTACTCCAATAGTTAGTGTTTGGTGGAAAAAGATGTACGTTTTTCTACATCTGGAAAAATTAATGTTGGGTGGGAGGAGAAGCAGGTATCTTTCTGAATAATGAAACATATAATGCTAGGTAGGTGGAGAAGCAGGTTTTTTTCTACATTTTGAAACATCTAGTGTTGTGTGGAAAAACAGAAGTTTTTCTATATAATGAAATATTTAGTGTTGGTTGGGAAGAGAAGCAGGTATCTTTCTGAAAATTAAAATATAGTGTTGAGTGAGAGAAGGAAAAAACACTACATTTCATTATTTAGAAAGACACCTGCTTCTTCTTCCACCCAATATTAGATATTTCATTATGTAAAAAGGCACTTGCATGGAAGGAAAATCAGGTGTCTTTCTAAATAATGAAATGTAGTGTTTTTTTGGAAGGAAAATCAGGTGTCTTTCTACATAGTATCTAGTGTTGGATGGAAGGAAGGGCAAATATCTTCATGTGTATTAGAATAGCTAGTGTTGAAAACATGGAAGTCAAAGATAATATGTAGTTTTAATGTAAAAAAAAAGATCAATTCTAGAATCTAAAGTTAAATGCCTTCTTTTGTAGAAAATTGAACATTACAATTAATCACTGTTAGCAAACATTTGTGGCATTAGAAAACAATAAATTAGTAGTTTTAACATACAATATTTATGCTCTTTTAATAACAAGTGATATAAATTTAATATTTAGTTTTAAACTAATCAGCTATATGAAATTGTATTAAAATAGAAGAAATTACATATTGTAAAATATTCTTATCCGGAGACTACAATTAATGTTAAAATTGGACTAAACTCTTTTTAAAAAAAGTCAAGGAGGTACATTTTTACCAGTGAAAAATTCTGTAGCTTGTTGTAATGCTATCTTGGCTCGCTCAGCTTTCTGCTCATCAGTCCTGTAACACAAGGTAGATAAATAAGTCCTGATAACTTAAAACAACTTGCAATTATTATAGCCTTGAGTTTTGAATAAAATAACTAGATATTAATGTTAGAATTAGTAAAAATACAAAATATACAAGATTAAGGAAATAGCATACCTGGGAGGACTGGTGTCAAAAAATAAAACATCTGGAAATAAGACAAATAGTGAGAAGTTAGTTCAGAGAAAGTAATGTAAAATCATAGTAACATATTATTTCTTTATTTTTCGATAAAATGTTATGACAATTTTATCTATATAAATCAATTTACATACCTAGTTAAGTACGTATATACACAAACACACTAACAAAGGGTGACAGACTTTAAGATATTACAAAATAACACATTCTGATATGTAGAAAACCACATTTTCAGTTTTGATGAAGAAATATAATTTAGAGAAATAAGGACTAGATGCTACACTAAACAAGACTTCTGTGTTGTCAGGTGGTGTTTCATGTAGTCACTAATTTATAGCCAGGTATTTGATATAGTTTCTAACGTATAATCAAGCATTTGATGTAGTCTCTTACTTATAATCAGGTGTTTGATATAGTCTGTAACTTAAACTCAATGCAAAATCACAAAAAGACACCTTTTAAAGGTTAGGCTGCTGTTCTACTATGTTCAATCCTACAGAAGAACACTACATTGCTGTATAATGTAACATACATTGTTCTACACAATGAGCAATCTGATAACCAGTATGATGAATTTAACTAATAAAACCTACACTAATATTAACTAGTGTTTCTGTTAAACAAATTTATTTTAAGAATGTAGACTTCTCTACCTAGACTTTCTCACACAAATTTTAACACAGATAATTATTTCAAGACTGTAGATTTTTCTATCTAGTCTTTATCATACAACCTTTAATATCAATGGTTATTTTAAGGCTGTATACCTATCTACTTAGACTTTCTTAAACAAATTTTAACATAGATGCTTATTTTATGACTGTAGACTTATCTATCTAGACTGTCTCAGAGAACCTTTAACACAGATAGTTATCTTAAGATTGCAGACTTCTCTACCTAGTGCATACTTGATTGGTTCCTCAACCCCCCCACCCCACCCACTTTTTACCACAATTTAACATAATGGAACAACAACTTTATAGGTTGTATAAATTTGCTGCTGCAGTCAACTTATTAAGTAGCTGTTGATAGTCGATTACAATCATATTGTTGTAAGAAATGTTTAAAAGCTATAAAACATACATTATGTATTTATTCACTAGACATTCTAAATAGGGTAAACACTGAAGGGAAAGAATGTCTTACAAACAGTTCAGATTTGATTCTTTAGAAGGAGACTATCTGACTTAGGTTTGTGTAGTCCATAATGAGTTATTTTGTTTTACGGGGGTGGGGGGAATTGTGCACAATAAAAGTATTTTTATAAAATAATTTTTATGTTTCTAGAAGTCTGAAAAAATTGAAACACAACTAATGAAGGTGACAATTAAAACATTGATAACTTAAAAGTGATTAAGTAGCATACTTAGAAAATCATGGCTGATGGAGACAATCTTATTAGTGCTCATCATTGGAAGAAAATGTAGGATAAAAGGCAGGTTTGTGAAACCAATAAGGGTATTATTCTCCAGAGTTTAGAACATGACCATTAAAATAAAGTGAAGAGACCCAACAGAATGAATAAAGAAACTACTGCTGCTGCTAAAATTAGTGAAAAGACGAACTACAACTTTCTACTACATTGTCTCTGAAATTAGAGAAACCACAACTTCATGATGAAAAGACAATTTTATGAGGAAATGCAGACAGAAACAAAAATATATGCACATTTAATTTTGGTGATCCTACTAAATGGCTAAAAATAAACTTTAAAGTGTGATAAGTTTTGGTTGAAATAGGCTTCAGATATTTGTCTTTCCTAAAGAAGGCAAAGGAATGGAAGTCAAGAATTATAACACATGATGGCTTGCCAAACAACAAAATAAAGAACAAATACATCAGGTTCAATATTTACTCACATGTGATTCAATATTTTGTCTTTGCTTTTCAATGTCCTCAAACAAAACAAAGGACTCAAAACTTTGTGAGCAGTTTTAAGTCAATACTAAAAGTGAGGAAAGTATCTAGAAGTATCTTGAAAAGAGAATTAGAATTGCAACTGAAAATGAACCACAAAATCAATATCAAATATGTGTACCTGATTATAAAACAGACAGACCATTTGCAAGCTATGCTTGAAAGGCTTGTTACATTGATAACAGTCTTTATGAAAGCCATGAAAAAGCATTTGTTGAATATTTTATTCTGTCATAAAAGAACAGCTTAGAAGAATTAAGATGAAGAAAATCCACAAGGACTATTTGGAAACAGGGCATACAGAATGAGCTACTGCTACCAAACAAGATTTAAACTCATGTGATGACTGCTGCCACAAATGTCATGTGTCACTCACTTGTACTTGACTGTACTTCACAGACACAGAACAGATTACAATGATCTTTTGATTTGTGACAGCTACTGAGACACTTTTGACTGAAGATGATAAGGTAAGTATCAAATAGTACTTTCTTGGATTTTTTTATGTTGGAAGACACAATTACTTCTGGTGTGACAGAAGGTGTTCTGAATAAACTTGCGAAAATGGTTCTGTTCATAAAAGTCTTGTAAAGGTATGTATATGATAATGAAATCAATTTGATAGGCAAGAACAATGGTCTTCAAAAAAAGAAGAATTAGACACTTAAATCCAAGTTATTTTCTTGTACTATGAAATGCACATTCTATGAGCCTTTGGTCAATGATACATTCAACTTTTGCACTAAGGTAGTGATGTTCTTTGACTTTATTCAAAGCATATACACCTACTTCTCTTCTAGAACTTATCACTGGGAAGTATTGCTACAACATGCACCCAGTTAATTATGAACACACTGAATAACACATGATGGGAAAGTATAATTGATGCTGTTTATGCACCCTATTACCAGCAGGAGAGGTCTAGAGCATTCTGGTCTTCTTTGCAGAAGCCAAATATCCACTAAAAGCCAGTGGAACAAAGCTGCATTCAGAAGTAACTGCTTCTAAGATGCTAAGTTAAAATCTTGTGAATAATCTGGTGGTAATACCAAGATTTTTTGTATGGGAACAATCTCGCTAGCAAAGAGCTGCAAGATAGTGTTCTTGAGACGTCTCCAGCCATTCAACAAGTACAAAAGATTATTTTCTTCAGCAGAAGATTAACAACGGCTTTACAAAGGCAAAAGTGGATACAAGGTAGATTGCTAAATAAATGGAAATCCTCAATATTTGTTTGAAGAACAGCATATTTTCTCACAAAAAAATGCAAAAAATGAGCATTAAATAACTTGTTAAGTTTTTTTGTATAGTGGAAGTAGGATATAACTAGAAGTTTAAAACAAGACTGTCTTGTGGTTACAAGGGTATTTTGGCAGTGTAAATATGGTTAAATGTGGATTCAATGGACTTCAACATGAAGAAGACCTCAGTAAAGAAACTAATGGTTGATGTTTTAAAATGTACATTATTGATTTTGTAATATAACCTATTCAGAAACGATTTAATGTGAAAATATATTTATCAATTTTTTTAAGATCTGCAAAAACATGTGGCAAAAGTCTCTTTGTACTCAAAAACAAGCATTACTCTGACATATAGTAACAGAGCTGAAGGAAAAGAAAAAAACACCATTTATACCTACCTTTCAAAATTTCTAGAAGTTCTGCAACACGCTGTGGCTTAATGGCTTGTTCTATCTTTCTGTCCAGATACCACTCCACATAACCCTGTAGTGACTGACGTACCAGACAGTCAAACATTCGAAGCAACTGGACACACCAATCAGGAAGTTTGTAGACATGAAGAGCTGAAATGTGTTTCAGTTATTATAGCAGCATTTTAGGAACATTTTTCTATCCACAAGAATATCTAAACATTATGCAGTAAATAATTATGAGGTTGAAATAAATACTGTTCTTATCACTGCTGTTCCATGAAAAACATCAAGGAATATTATCAAGATTAAGGATATAAAATAAGATACAATATATATATATAGTTACTTGTATTTTGACTTAACCCCCTCTCCACAGGCATCTTTTACTGCAAATGTCTTGAGGTTTTTAGTGACTTATATTGAAATTTAGTTAAGTTACTTTTAGTTCATGTTATACCAATCAGTATAGCATAAAATCATAGGTAATAATCCATATTTGAATAGTATATAAGTTTTAAGTTCTTAATTTTATAAGGCAATAGTTAAAAAAAAATTCTGAATTTCCTCTAGTGTGAGAATTGTGACATATATTCTCTAAGCATCCCCTCTTCTTTAATTTATTTACCACCCTTCCAAGAAGTACGAAATTTAACGTAAATTATTCATTATAATGTTGTCATTGCTCAGGCAAAGTATAATTTTTATAGCCTTCAATCTTGTTTGGTTACAGAGTTATCAAATAGAAAATCCGGCCCCTCTTGCCACACCTACCTGTCACATTCTTTCTTTCAGGATTTGTGAATAATTCTCTCTTACGTTTAATACTATGTTATTTATAGCCAATAGAAAGTCAAGATTTTCATCTATTAAATGACATATTATGTTACATTGTTTTCTGTACAGAGAATTGTCAATTTCTCTTTTAGTATAAGATTCATTCCCATGGTAAACACATCAACTAGCTTGGATGAATTTATAACGGCTCTTGTCGCATAGTTAGAATGCCAGAAAAATTGTGATAGTTATGGGACATTGTAAATCATTTGGCAAATGTGTAGCTCATGTTGCCCTATCAAATTACATTGTGCACAGGCAACTCGCAAGTGTACCTTGTGAAAAATTATTACCATTATTTTACCTCATATAACCTTTTCTAACTTAAAAAGTTTCTAAGTTTTACATCTTAGTTTCTTTTATAATAAAAAATACATGGTTCTTGTTGCATAGTTAGAAATCCATAAAAATTGTGATACTTATGGGACATTGTATATCACTTGGCGAATGTGTAGTTCACGTTGCCCTATTGACTTACAATATGCACAGGCAACTTGCGAGTGTACATCATGAATAATTATCCTCATTATTTTTCTTTATTTTACATAATCTAACCTTTTCTAAAATAAAAAGTTTCTAATTTTTACATTTTAGTTTCTTTTATAATAATAAATAAAGAATACACAGGAAAAAAAATACTAACCTTGGTCTTTTTTGCTGTCGATGAAATTTAACCAAAATTTTCACACTAATGGTACTATTGCACTAAATAATTTTTTACTTAATTATGTAATGCACCTAAGAACTCAGAATAATAAAAAGCAGACAATGCGTTATAACTGTCATACTTTTTCTGGCTTTCTAACTATGTGATCAGAGCTGTTAAAAATTCAGCTAAGCTCATTGATGTGTTTCCCGTGGGAATAAAGTTTGAGCTGGAAGCAAAATAGACAATTCTCTGTACAGAAAACAAAAAGTAATATAATATGTCATTTGATAGATTGAAACTGTGGCTTTCTATTGGTTATAAATAATATAGTATTAAATGTCAGAGCGAACTAATGGCAATTTGTGAAAGGATGCACATATGGAACGAGTTAAAACATTATAATTTGTTCATTCAGTTTTATTAGTTTATTTTATCCTTAGTGGATTTTTAATATCATACCAGTTTGCCAGTTTACAGACTTGATGTAGGCACACTTTCCTTATATCATCCACTAATGTGGAATTTGTTCCATAAGAAAATATCTTTTCTTCAAATATGTAGTGGTAGCCTTCCATTGATCAACTACAATATGAAACTATTGGCTTTGTTGAGATTGATGTTGCAGTATATCTAGACTCATATTTGAGATTCAGATCTGTTTTAGACAGCTTTAAGTACGTTGGTGATACAGCAGTTTTGGGATAAAAAAAACAAGTTTGGATCCTTGGTATCCAAAGCAAACTTTAGTGATTAACTGTATTTGAGTAGTTTAAGACTATTATTTATAACACACTTCCCAAAAAAAGCTCATTAATCATTATAGTTAATCTTTAACTACAATTTTAATGCACCTTCAATGTACACTTTTGTTAACTACCTTTCATGGACACCATCCTGAGTTATAATATAAATAGATATTAAACCTAAACATCACACTACTATCAGAAGATTAGAACTATATATATATATATATATATATATATACACACACACACACACACACACACACACACTAGTTCTT